TTGATTCACTATAAGTTCGCTTCAACTGAAACTGAAATAAGTTGATTTTTGAGTTGATTTCACACTGATTTATGTTGATCTCAGTTGAATTGTTTCGTTTACAAACGCTTTTCGAAAGGGAATGACCATCCAGATTACAAAACGAAACTGATCGAAATTTTTGAACTGAAAGACGGGGCGATGAAATCCAATCAAATCAAGAATAGTTATCTATCTGAATGGTCCAGAGTGGCGCAGAATTATGCACAAGAATTCTCACTCTCGAAAGAAAAGAAACTATGATCGCCTTGAGTATACGACAAATACTGGAAACGAAATTAAAGAAATTCAGAGAATGAGTATGATTATTAAAGAGAAAAACAAACCAACGACAAAGATATCTACTCAAAGAACAAATAATAGAAGTGAGAAAAAATTGTTCAGATGTTTTGTTTTCTTTTTTTAATCCATACATTTCAGTACACCAAAATAATCAACTTAAATCAATTTCATATGTGATCACTCCATTTCAATTCAATTTCTTAAAGCTTTCCCGTTCAGCCACTTTTAATGACCACATTTCTGATGTGTATTACCATTGTATATCATATAACATATCTATCCTTTTATCTCATTTCATCAACACTTTCTAATATTATCATTGCCAATGATAATTTACAACCATCCTTAAAATCACTATTACTCTAATCATATCAAATCCTTTCATATGTAATTATGTTGTATTATAAAAAAGAACAAAAAACCAAAATGAATACATTCATACTAAATTACATTCTAGCTTGTGATCTAATTATGATCTATTCTTCTTCTGCTCAATTCGTCTGCTCGTTTACCAAATCTATTCACTTAATTTCATATTAATTCAATTTATAACTTCTCACCTTCATGCTCACATTAATTCATCATTCTCACTCAATCAATTTACTCTTGATCATTCATTAATTCATTTTCTTGCATTTTCTCAATTCTCACTTTTAAAAAACCCTTTTTCATTGCAATTTCAATTCATCAATCAAATCATATTTTATAATTCAACAATGACCAATTCATCCATTTATCAAAACACATTTCTCGTGTTTATTACTCTTCCATAATCACTCAACCCGAATCGAATCAATCACCAATCAACCGAATGAAGATATCAATCAATCAGTGCACGGATAACGCTTCTGAATTTCCCTTTTCAAGTTGCTAATTAATTACTGTTGCTAATTATTACCTTTGCTAATTAATTCCTCTTTTCTAATAACGAATAATGATTAAAACACCTATATAAAACATATGTTTGTATGAACAAACCCATATGCACAGTATTCAAATTATTTTATGTTTCCTGATAGGAACTCATAGCACTTATCATAAATTACAATCTCATATCTATTATATATCTATTTATCTAACGAATCAAATTTGGCCACTTTTCTTAAAATCAATCCGTCAACTCACGAATGTAGCTCATTCAGTTCAACTTGCTGTATTTTTGAGCAACGCTTGCTCGGTGACAACCACGCTATTCATGTGACTAGCTGCTATTACTACTCATATAACTTTTGAATTTTTATTAGACTCAATTCAAAATTCTTTTTCATTTCATTTCACTTGTTCAATTTCAACTTTTCAGGCTTGCTTCAATTCTTTTTCGCTTTCCAATTATACACATAAATTCTCTGCTCATTCTCTGCTTGTCAGTAATGGTAGTAACAACAACAGAATTAACTTTTCAGTCTTTTTCTTTCAACTCATTTCTGTGCATATTTATAGATATCCATAAAGAGAGTGAGTATATTCGCTGAAAGTATGTGTATATAATTTGTATGAATTTGTGTGCAAAAAAAAAAAGAAACGGGACAAGCACAATCTAAACGTACTTTCAGCGAATAATTTGAAATAAGCTTAACTACTGACAAAGCAATTCAGTCATAAACCAACCAACGACTCAATCTCAATAAGTAAATCATTTTTCTTCTTATCAAACATACTTTTACATTTCATAACTTGCAACACACAAATACGCACCATATCATTCTATTATTAACAATTAGTATAAGTAAAGAGTACACATAACTACCATAACATAGATCTTATGCATACAAATAAATCTTTTATGAATGTACTACCACTAATGTCAATATAGAATTCAAGTACCCGAAGAAGAGTTTAGTCTGAGCTTGTGACTACTCTAGTAGAAAGATAACTGAGCGCAAAATCAATGACAACAATTCCAGTCAACTGATTATACCCGTTCGGTAAACCGCTACATGCGAGACTAATCGTCTATATTGCCCACCCAACCGAGTCGACTCAAATCCAAAAGCACTACAACAAAAAAAGCAAACTCCGAACAATTTTACTCATTCACTTATTCACAAGTTGTTATAGTAATCTATCGTCCAGCCACTACGCTACTGACCTACTCTATTGATGTGCATGTAATAATTTTGATAATGACCATAATCATAATTTTTCTTGTAAATTTAATTTATTTTCTCATCAACCGAACTTTTGTTCAATATACGTACGAATCGTTATTGCCTTTTTCTATCCCTAAATAATCCGCATATCTAAATGTATACACATAATTTCACTCATATTCACTTATATAAATAAATGTAGATAAATCTATGTAAATATTCACCTACACACATATTTCTGCTCCACTTGTAAGTAGCTGTTGTTTTTTTTCGGATGGCCACGATCAAATCACAAACACAATTACCTATAATCTCAAAACACATCTCCTATTAAATACACTTCGATCTTAACTATTACACGTAATTGTCTTCACCCAATAGATGATTTAGGAGTAGGCATGCAGTAAAAAAACTATTCAATTATTCAACAAAACAATCTCATCTTATCCAAATCCCCAATCCATAAATCTTAAAATTTCACCATTGTATTACTGCTTCTAGTGCAACTATGAGCATTCAATCGTTCGTCAATGATGACAATAATAAATAGAGTACATAATCTGTTATCCCAAGTATAAACCATCCATCCATTGTTCATCGAAATAACTGGCCGTTGAATCCATAAGAAGACCAGACCAAATGAAAGCAAGAAATAGCGGCAGGAAACAACCCTAATAAACCGCATCATCTACTCACCACGTAATTGGTTGACAAATAGGTAGGCATGTCAGCTAACAGTTAACTCGAATCAGATCAACCGCTTACGTATTTATTCATTTGCCATTTCCAACCTAGTTTCTTTTAATCGTTTCAGTATGATATTGTCGTTGACTGCCACTGTTATCAATCGCCAACAACCTCATTATTAACGACTCAACTGGAAACATAGACGATCGTACCGTATCATTATATCAATTACTAGTATCATCATTACTACTTCGACGCTTATCATATCATCATAATAATAATTCAAGTATATCCTCTACAGTTGCAATTGAACCAGCCAGCTGGTTGTCTCACCATGTAGCTGACAAATAACCCTACGATGGAGATGATACAGTTCATAATTATCATTTTGCGCCGTTATCACTATCATCATCATAATGTTATCATCAAGCCGTCTACAGATCTGCCTATCCGCTTCGTTGCCTGTCTAACATCACACACACATTAATTCCACAAATAAATGATAGTGATTATAACAACGATAATATCAACAATAACTAGAATAATAACAATAACAATAATAATAATGATGACAACAAAAAATTACCACTTCCTCATAAAACTAACACAAGTGATATTCATCAGATGGATTATTACATTCACGCTGTCAGCTACAAGACATTCCGCTCTATCACTCCACTTATTACCCTTATCATCTTTACATCCGTTTCAATTTCACGACCATAATCATGATAATAATAAAAATAATAATAATAATAAAGATGAAACTGATAGGAATAATGATAACAAAAACAATACCACAATGATGTTTATTACAGCAACACCTGAGAAGTCAATTCTTCCTCTTACTCCTCAAATTAGTTCTGTTACTGATTTATTACCTAACGTAAAACAATACGGTTATTCTATTAATAACGCTAATCCTCATAATAACAATAATCATTTCAATGTGACTGGTTCTAATCATAGTGATAAAATTGATTCGAAAGACATTAACAATGTGCAAAAACATAGTGTCCCAATAAATTTTGCCAAAATACCAATCGAATATTTCAATGGTAATAACAATATTAATAATAATAATCTCGACTCTGTACTCCGAAACAGCATTCAAAGAAATATCATTGGGACTGATAACGACGAGCATATACTGTTTTCATCAAATGTGATTGTTAAGCAACAACAACCATCCACAACAACCATATCAATAGAATATTCTCAGCAGCAGCAGCAGTACCACGATGCAATTCCCGATAATATACAGTCTTGTAGACCCAATGAATCCTTACTTCATACATCCCCCACAAGCTCGGCTCTTCTACCCCTCCCAGTCTCATTCCCAGCCCGACCCCCATCTCCCTCTCCGTCATCTTCAAACGATGCCCACCATTCTCATTTTCAACAACAACATCACGTTAACGTTCATGCTCTTTCTTCTTCATCAGTGCAAGTCCATATACGCAGCGTTTATCCACCAATTCAGGTTGCTTTTTAGCTTGTCTCATTTCACTCGCTAGTAGAACAATTTTTATAAACATCATAACAATTAATCATAATAATAATCATTTCAATAATAATAATAATAATAATAACAGTAATGATAATAGCAATAATAATAATAATAATAACAGTAATAACAATAACAATAATAATAATAATCATTTCAATAATAATAATAATAATAACAATAATAATAACAATAATAATAATCATCTCAATAATAATAATAACAGTAATGATAATAACAATAATAATAATCATTTCAATAATAATAATCATAACAGTGATGATAATCACTCACATAACAATTATAACAAAGTAATAATAATAAAAAACTTGAAGGAAATGCAACCAAGAATCCTATTTGTTGTTGTAATATTCGTGCTATGTTTTATCGTTGGGATGTGTGGAAATGCGTCAATATTGACGATTATACGCGGGGTTATTTCGGAACGAAGACGACTGAAGAAGACGTCTTTATGCGCCGCATCCAGAGCAAGGTTGAGAAGGCATGCCGGTGAACAGACCATTTTGTACATCGCTGCATTATGCGTCGTCGATCTGTTAATGTCCCTCTCGCTACCGCCTGCCATACTTGTATGTTTTTTTGTAATTTTTTCGGCTAATCTCTTCTATCCCACCATCAGTAATAAGATTGCAGCGCCAAATCGTCCTTCTCTCGGATTGAAATTGCATCCAAATCGCCCTCGTCTCAAGCTAAAACTGCAGTCGAATCAACCCTTTCCCTGATTAAAATTGTGACCTGATCGTACCCCTCCACCCCTTGACGTGTAATGACAATAGTCGGTAAGTGATAGTTTTTAAGAGAGTTGAAAAAAAGAGAATTTTTTTAAAAGTTTACTCTCTTTTACAATAAGAAATCGAATCGCTATCACCTCCTTCTCTTTACCGAATGCACCAGTCAAAATTGAATTCATCAATCAAATTTCAGGACAGTATCATTGGCTTTTGGATGTTTGGTACAGTGCTATGCAAACTACATCATATATGTGGTTCAGTTGGACGAATCGTCTCAACATTTCTTGTCATTTCTTCTCAAATTTTCATCCATTTTCCTATCGGCTTTTATCTTTACCAAATCAAATTTATAACATTCTCATTGAAATTTCATTGAAAAATCTGTAACTTCGAATATTATGATTATTATGATTATCACTAGTCATGCTATCATTATTAGTATTATCACTATTTTTATTACCACTTCAACAACTACTAGCTTATTCCATCGAATCAATCAACTCATCCTCATTTCAGATAACTGCCATGAGTTTCGATCGCTACGTAGCTGTTTGTCATCCACATAAACACGCGTATCGTTCACGCAGATTCGTTCTAACCGTTATTTCTGGTCTCTTTCTTCAATATTTACAATCAAATGAAATAGTAAACGCAATAATAATAACAGTCATGAAATAATAATCATAACAATAATAATAATAACGCCTAATCGCGGCAAACATCAAAACCCGTCCAATCCACTGCAAGTTCTCTCTCCTCTCCTAGCCCACCACCACCCCACTTCATTTCATCCACTTTTAACACTCAGATTTTTAAAGGTGTTTGTGCTGTAGCATTCCTTTTATTGTTACCAATGCTAACCTATGCACGTGCAAATGAGGTTATTCTACATCAGCTACGTCAAACCGATCCGTTACATAAACGTGAAAATATCACTCGTGTTCGTATTTACAAATGTTCTGATATGATGCCGCCTTACGTCTTTTATTGGTTCACTTGCAGGTGTTTTTTATGATTGTTATTTTGTTATCATCACTGTTACACTTACATTACTACTATCAACCGTTCATATTTAACAAATAACTTCACATCCTCATTAACAATTTAAAATATTTAGCTGATTATTTACCACTTCATTTTCAGTACATTTCTACTTGGTTACGTGGTACCGTTATTGCTTATCGTTTATTTCAATTTGAAACTTATACGCAAACTTTATCGACATGCAAAGTTTGTTATTTCTATCACTCTTGTCATCATTACCACTACTGTCATCAGTCTTATCACTGTTCTTAACATTACTGTTATCCCTCAATAAGCAAGCGTGCGAGGCAACTTTCGACAGCTTCACACACATCCCACCAGCTGCAGTATACACATCAAAATACAACAACGACTAATTATGTCCTATTCACGTTCACAAACGCATCTAATTAGACACCGACCTTATGATCACTTTTTTTCTCAAATATTAGCAGACTAAACAAAATACTGTTGATGAAATAAATTGAAAAGAATTCGAAAAATCAATTAAGTGATGTCTTTTGGTTCCACTTTCTTTCGCCTAAATCGACAAAAATGGATGTATTGGCCACATTACAGGTAGCACTATGTAAATCCGTATTAATAAATGAATACTTTATATCACTGATGTGTACGTCACTGAAAAAAGTTGTCCTGCTAATCAGTAATTCGCTTCTAAATTCTTTCGCTCCTCCAAAAATAATTCGTCATTAGCGCGCTTTGCTAGCGAAAAAGTGGAGAAAACTTTTCTTTAAAAGTGCTGCTAACCGGAAAAAGAAGCGGTAGTTCTCGCTAAAACACTACTCAGCAAAATTATTCAGCTGATCGCTATCGCATTTCGCTACTTTAAAATCTTCCTTCAGGAATTATGATCGCGCTGGTGAGTTGTTTAGGGAGAAAAAACTCATTCTGCCATTAAACAGTCAAAAATTTTCATTTGATCATCCATCAACACAAAAATCGTTTCGACAATAAACACGAGTCAGCAATAAAAACAAACTTCAACAATGAGAAATAATCGTGCGACAACAACAAAATTAAAAAATCAAAATCAATCCACTGGCAGCAATTCGCATTACTCTCTCGTTCTCTTTAATGAACTTTAATCAACATGCTAAGCATTTCGTCTGAGATGTTGCCTCGTTTGGATCTTATTATATCGGCTAGTTCAGTCCCCTTATGGTGGATGTCAGCGATCATCAAACCCATATGAAGAAAAGATTCCGAAGTGAATCCGCAAAACTACAGACCTATTTCATTAAGCTATCCAATCTCTAAATTTTTTTGAAAAATAATTGCAGAGGAACTGAGAAACTATTTTACAATGAATAAGTTGTTTTACCCTTTCTAATGCGTCTTTCTCGATACGGATTAATCACTCTGGTTCTACTTCGATCCTTGTAAAATTGGGTACCTCCCTTAAACACACGAGGCTACATTGACACTGTATATTTCGATTTAAAAAAGCGCTTGATTCAATATCCATACGTAAATTATCCCAAGACTATAAGCATGTAACATACGGAGTTGTCAATCCATTTGAATTCGAGACTTTTTTACGAATCGTTGTATCGTTAGTGGTATTCCTCAAAATTCCATTTTGGGATCCCTTGACTTTCACATTCTTATCAAAGGTTTTCCAGACTCAATGTGCTTCATTTTCGCAGATTTTGTTAAGGTCTTCACGTTCTCCAATAATTTACAAACTATTTAATTACATAAACCAATAGTCACCATATTGTTTTTTACCACTAGCTCCAGAACAAACGAAACTGATTAAAATTGATATAAATAATCCCAATAATCTCCTCAAAATTCCAAATCAAGAATTGGCTGTCTCCTTATTCGGCCAAGATCAACGCGTCATAATCAACCTAAAAATTCCGTCATCATATTTCCGGTATAGTTAAAAAAGCATTAATCACATCCAGATGGTTAAGTTTTAATACTTTATCCCCACTAAGCAAAATACGTAATCTGAATTCGCCCACTCATAAAATGTACCTTTTCCTTCTGGTGCCCCCCCCTGATCCATACGATAGAAACTGTACATAAATGTCGTTGAAAATGTTCGAAGAAGATATATACGTTTGAGCTTTAAGAGGCATTGTGGCAATTGAATATTCTGCTCCAATACCAGGAGAGGTATAAAATTTTAGGATTAGAAACTTTAGAACTGCGACGATTTTATATTGATTGTTGTATACCCTATAACATCATTCAACCTCAGGTTGATTTCCCAGTGGCCAAATTTTTCTCAAGCAATGAACGAACCTAGCAAAATAATTCCCTTAAACTCGCTGTCCAACGCTGCAAATTAAACGCTACAAAACTCTCGTTCACGATTAGAATCGTTAGAGCCTAGAATCCACTCCTCTAACATCTTGTCTCTTCACAACTGCTGCAAATATTTAAATGCAGACTTCGATCGATTTTATCAAATGAAATCGGATTCTTATACCTCTTGAATCTACGCTAATTATTTAACAAGAGTAGGACATTTTATTGATTCAAGCACCATACCACTGAACAGCTTGATATCTATCACTCTCACTGTTTGATAATGTACATTACTCGATTTTTTCCTCTATCTTCAACCTTAATTCCCCTCCCAGGCAGCAGTCGAGTGAATATATTCACCATATTGTAATCACTTGCAACGAACATCACTTCACATATTATTATGCGAATAAATATCAATCATATCCTCACCTAGCGAGAACAGAACTGAAGAAAACGTTATTGCACTGCCCGTAATTTATTTAGAGCCACATAGCCCAATGAGCTAAGACCGAATGCTAGTCGCGCACTCACAGCAAATATTTCGTGACCGCTCAATCTGCCTAAAGACACTTTGCCTAACAACATATTGCCTAAAGACACATTGCCTAACGGACAGTTTGCCTAACTTATGGTTTTTTGATGGATATTTCGCCTAATAGGCAAACTGTTCCTTAGGCAAACTGTCCGTTAGGCAATGTGTCTTTAGGTAAAGTGTCGTTAGGCAAAATGTCTTTAGGCAGATTGACCGGGTACCAAATATTCAATGCATGATTGAATATTCGACTTCGACACGTTAAGGCGAGCACGAGTATGATAAGTTATAACTGAGCTCTTGTCAGTGCCAGATCGCAAATACATATTTCAAGTATCGCGATGCCGAGAAAAAAAAAGCATTCCTTTACAGATGAAAAGTAGCGAGTTAGCGAAAACTATAAGTAAAAAGTTATATGAATATAATAAATACACTTTCATGATCAATTTCAGGATTCAACCTCGAAGTGGTATTCCACTCCGACGTGTCGTAACGTACACGCTGTTGATCGCTGTTTTTTACTTTCTTTGTTGGACGCCGTATTGGTGCTCTGTGCTGTACGCCATTTATATGTCGATCTTTTCGGATGGTCGTACAAAAACCAACGAATTGTTGCTATTCATTATTTATTGTGTTCATTTGTTACCGTATTTTGGAAGTGCTTCAAATTGGATTCTTTATGGACTGTTGAATACACAACTGCAACAAAAACACGATTCACCAACCGCCATTCACCGCTCTCCGAATGCTATTCCCTGTTCTCATTCTCCTCTCCGCTCACTATAACAAAATTCTTTTAATGTGCACTCATTAAACAGTCATAAAACTGTGATCACTACCAATAAAAATAATAATAATAAGACTTCTTCTCGTTCTACTTCAGCCAATCCCGCTCATGGCAATAACACCAACATCAATAATAATAACACAAAAATGGCAATCGGCATTCACTAAGTGCAAATTCTTTGAAACGTGCACTTCTCTATCGAAGACTGTCACTGTCACACTAACTGTTACCAGTTGTTGCATCTCCAGCTGACGCAATATGTGATTGAGTGATTGATTGAATGATTGATTGAATGGCTAACCTGAGCTGATGCTTCTCGTAGAGTAATCAATCAATAAGTTCCTCCTTTCCAGAAATCTCAAACTCCTCGGAACCCCACTCCAGAAACTTTCATTTTCGTTCCACGCAATCTTCCTGTATTTTTGTCACACCTCTTCATTGACCGAAACTATCAGTTGGATGCGTATGCATATTTTCAGAATGCAACATCAAAATTTACACCAACCGCATACGCCACGTGATCGGTATCGAATAGTATCACTATTGTCATTCCACTAATTGTTACTATAATTTCGTAAAGTATTATTCTTGATACGATTGTGATTATTCGAGAATAATCCGTTCCTTCACTTGCAAGCAGTATGTTATTTCAACGAAGTGATTTACTGATGTTGCTGAATGCAAATCTCTACTTGAAATTCCTTCGTATCAGTTGATCTTTTGTTGAAGAACATTTCACATCCTTCTAATATAACTTTTATTGTAATATAACAAGTCAATATCAAGAGTTCTTTGAAACGATAATAATTTATTTTGTAATCTGAAGCTAACTCATAATAACAAATGATAATAACTTATGTTATTTACAACGATAACTTATGATTTTTATCTAAAAATCATACTCTAAATATACACCTATCTATAGCCGTATATTCATGTGTAAAACAAGCACGGTGGTCTGTCTCCTCATCTATTTCATTTGCTACTCGCGTCAGCTTCAAAACGTAGAATACAACTTATAAGGATTACTTGATTAAGAATCTTGAATGATATAATCCTTCAAAGTTTTGAGGGCGGCTTTTACTGAGGGGCCAAATGAAATCTATTAAACGGAAGGGGAAGTAAACCGATTTAGTGAGAGGTGGAACCCATCTAATTCAGTTTGCATGACAAGTATAAAAGCACTACCACTACATGAGTACATTGTATAATATAATATATTATAATATAATATAATATAATATAATATAATATAATATAGGTGTCCCTAAAATCTAGACATCCCAATGCAAAACGTTTCTTTCTATA